CTCTATCCATTACACAAGGATCATCATATTGACCTGTCTCATAGAGGAATGTGGAACCTAATTAATTTCCTTGTATAAGACATTATTAAGGTTTTTGGTTCTCTATGGTAAAAACATAGTGTGTTGCTACTATATTGCTGTAAAAGCAAAGATGATGCTGAGGAATGAAGTAAAGTCTTCCATCCTGTATGAGTGTAGGACAGAGGCCGCATAGCTGCATAAGTATAGTTGCAAAGTCAAGGCTGTTGATCTTTGCTAGGATCAAAGCTATGGGAGGCAGCACCTGCCTAAGGAGTTAAACAATGAGAATGCTTTTGCCTTTTAGTAGTTCCACTAGACTCAGTTGTGGAAGCAGCAAGCCACACTAGAGGTAGGCCTGTGCCACAGAACCGGATCTATAGCTGAACTCTCCCATCTTTTGTGAATGTGTTCTTATATGTTGAAGATGCCCTGGCTTAGTGCATATGTCACCTCTCCCTCAGAGGCTGCTAATTAATCAGCACTAATTGAATTAATTCTTTAGCTCAAGTGTCAGAGGGTACTGAAGACCTTGTGCACTGAATGCAAGTAAGTCCTCCAGCACAGCTGCTCATAAACATGTCAGTAGACCAGGTTCCCTCTGGAAAATGCTGCTCTGTCAAAATCAGAATGTTTCATGGCAACATATCAATTTTAATTAAATTTTAGTGGAAGAATTTCTAAGTTGAAGTGAACTCTCAAGAAGTCAGCCCCTACCTCCAACCAGCCCGTGACACCAGCCTCCATCAGCCGCTTGTTAGGTTTTCAAGTTAGCACCTTCATGCTTTCTCTGCTGCTCTCCTTCACGTGTGGGAGGAGCTCCTCTAAAACATGCATAAAGCCACCAGAGTTTTTCTCTTTCCAATTGTTCCTTAAAACTCTCCTTTGTTCATATCTACAAACACTTGACAATGGGTAGACAGGAGGCAGAGCACATGAGCAGTCTACCATGCTGCCTAATATTGTCTGTTTCAATTTGCTCCTGTATATCTCTGCATCCACCAGTTATCTCCAGTTTAATGCTTAGTTTGCAAGCTCTTAGGACAGAAACTATCTTGTTGTTTTGTGTTTGTGAAGCACCTAGCCCAATGGGTCCCTAGTCCATGGTTACAGCTTCTAGCTGCTATAATAATGATGATAGTGTTAGTAGTAGGAGTAGTAGGAGTAAAATAAGTGTGCCTCCTGGGCAGGACACAGTTCAGTTAAGTTTTCTTTAACTTCCTTTTCATTTTACTCTAGGCAAGTTGATGAAGGATTCCAAACATCAGCAAATAAAATGCTGGGATCGTGAGGCTTCTCTGACTGTGCCATGTGCTTACAAAGAAGATGAGGGATTCTACACTATCCGTGTCCCTACACTGGATGGATACAATGAACAGAGTGCTTATGTATTTGTCAGAGGTAGGTACGGGCTTTTATCCTACTTAGAACAAAAGCCTTTTTTCAATGAAGTGAAAAATTCACAATGAAGTGACTCTCCAAACAGAATGTCCCAAAAATACCTGAGTCCCCCTGTTCAGTAGTAACTAAGCACCTGGTAGGCTAAGGCTCATCACAAGCCAGTGAGACTATGTCTAGGGGACAGATAGTCAAAGATACGTAGGTGCTTGAAGATTCACAGAATTTGTGTGTTTCTTGTCCTGCAGGCTGCATCACACCAAACTTAAAATGCTAAACTCACCAAACTGCCTCTGTGAAAAAAAAGAGTTGAGAGACTGAAGGGCTCATTGCACAGGGGAGGCAGAAGAACTTAAGCAACACTGTTCTGTATTTCTTCAGATGCTGTGGCAGCAATGGCTGGTGCCCCTGGATCCCCACTCAATGTGAAGTGCCATGATGTGAATAAAGACTGCCTGATCCTTTCCTGGGTGGCACCCAGTAACAGTGGAAGAAGTCCAGTCTTTGGATACTATATTGAAAGGTCTGTATGGCAAGCATGTTAGAAAGATTGCAACATCTTGGAGAAACACCAGGGATGAAATGCATGGTTTCTGTTTCATTTCAGGTGTGAGGCAGGCACAGATGATTGGGTGCCATGCAATGACAAGCCTGTGAAAGCCTGCAGATGTCCTATTGGGGGCCTGGTTGAAGGAGCGACATACCAGTTCCGAGTTAAGGCTGTCAATCACACAGGCATCAGTCATCCTTCAAAGGCCAGTGACCCAGTTACAATGAGAGACCCCAATGAGGACAAAAGAGTGATGAGTATGTATCAGAAACAGGACAATATTCTCATATTTATTCTTAGGACAATATTCTCATATTTCTCATGGGTGTAACTCACCATAATTTACCCAAGGTCCCCTGCTGCTGCTTTTCACTGCACCTGGCTCCTATGGCACTATACTATGCCACATATATATTTAAGCGCTAGCAGAATTACTAGATGAATCCATTGGTCTACACTAAAACAACCAAAGGCAGACTGACTTATACTGTGTTTGCTATTTTATAAGCACTGAACAGAACAAGACTGCATGGGAGAGTATCATAGATCCTCAACTACTGCAAAGTATCATAGATCCATTGAAGTCAAGAACCTGGCAGTTGCTCTAGCTGAGGCTTTCTCTTGTTGTTTCACATGTCATTCCCTTACCCCAAAACACGTGATCTCTGCCTACCTGGCTGCACTTGCAGTGCTTGAATTGGGAAGACAAAAGCAAGAGTGGTCAAAAATTAACCTTAGACCAAAACCTGAATCTAGCCCCAAATGATGGCTTTGTTTAAGTTTCAAGGAGGTTTATGTATTTTTAATTACTTTTCAGCTTGCTCCACTTTTTTGACATAGTCTGATTTGGAAAGAGAGAAGGTCAAAATACTGCAGCTATGGTATTTGAAAGCACATAAGGAAATTACATCAATTTTGTCTTTGCCTTTCTTCTAAACCCATGGCTTATCCTTGGTGAATAATATTGACTTTTTTAATCACTAGCCATCCTTTATGATGATGGAAAGAAGATAGAAATTTCCAAAGATGAACTGGAAGGTAATTTTAAATTTATATTTAATCTGATTTTCATAAAGAAGCACTTTTCAGAATACAGCAATGCCAAAGAGGTTAGGGGGAAAATATGTACAAGAAAATATTTTCTTACACTGCATAAAAACAGAAACATTCCAGAATACTAGTCTGGTTTATAATGAAGCCATTTGATACGGTTAAACTTATGACTATCAAGCCCACAGTTAGAGGCTAGGAAGCAGTATAAAGTTTGTTTAAAAACAAAAGAAAGATATGGGGTACATTTTCATATGTGTCAAACTCACTTTCATAAAATCCCCCTCATTTGGTGGGAATGACATGAGGTCACTCAAAATTTAGCAAATAAACAAATAGTTTGGGTAGTTTACCATTATGTTCCCAAAAGGTCAAAGACTTCTTCACGCTGAAGAATCTTACTTAATACTGGAAAGGCATAAATGTACCTGTTTAAAAAAGACAGTTTTCCTGCTATGTTATAATTGAGTCTGTATGAAATTCTGACTTCCCATAGGAAAGATTAAAATCCCACTGCCACCCACCAATGTCCACGCAAGTGAGATCAGAGAAGATTACGTGGCCCTCGCTTGGGATGAACCAGATCCTAGAGGCAGGGAGCCACTGACTTACTATGTGGAAAAGGTAAGGAAATAACCAATGAAAGGGCAAGAATTGTTGCTTCGGAGACTGGCCATGGGTTATAGAACATGTCACCACTAAGAGACCTGTCAGACAGGTCAACAGTAACAGAGAACAGCTGATGACACTTTAGAGGTGGTCTGTGTAAAATGACTTGGTAAGTCTCAATTCCTTAAGGAGAGGGTCCTCCTTATCAAAAAGCCACCAGCACAGTTGGTTCCTTTGATAATAATCTTGGCAGAAGGTGAATTATTTTTGTCTCCCTAAATGGTGTCAGTGCAGATCTAGAATGGGACACCGTGAGAGGGCAGTGTGTGGGGAAGCTTCTGCAGCTGTTGCCAGTACATCCACAGTGTGTTGATAGCCAGAGGACAGCAGTTTCCAAGCTGCCCTGGCTAACCTTTCCCTAGATCCACAGTTACAAGTACGCAAATCCAGATCTGGTGCCTGGCCCACAAAGTTGGGTCTGATAATGAATGCAAACAGGGGAGATGAGACGGAGTCTTTCTTCTTCATGCCACAGCATGGCTGCAGAGCTATATCAAGGAGTTTGTAGCAGCGTTGTGGATGGTATAACCCTTCCCAGGCCCATTAAGCATGAAGAGGGTGAGAGGAACTACATGGTGACAAAACTTTAGAATCCACCTCTGCCCCAGTATTCCCTTGCCCTAAAGTGTAACGGTGTTACTGCTTGAGAAGTTTCTGATTTCTCTGGATTTTAAATCACAACTTTTCCCTTCCAGTCAATTGCAGGGAGCAACTGCTGGCAAATGGTTAATCTGGATATCCCCGTGGCATCCCCAAGATTTGCAGTCTTTGATCTTGTTAAAGGAAAACCCTACTGTTTCCGTGTGAGGTCTGTTAACAAATATGGCGTGAGTGAGCCGTCCCTGCCCAGTGAGCCCATATCTCCTGGAACAAAATTAGGTAATCATCAAAATCATGAGTTATACAAACAATATGGAAAAGGCAGTATCTTGTAACTTTAACACAAGCTTCTTTTCCTGTTCCTTGACCCTTTATGTTAGGCCATTGTACAGAGCTCACTTTGACTTCAGGAAGTCTCTCAAAGCCTTAAATCCATGTTTCATTACTTTGCAGCTGGTCACCGCACAACGTAAATCTAACCAAGCAATAAGGCTGGAATTAAAAATGGTAAAAAAATGAAACAGTTGAAATCCCAATATTCTCCTCCAAGCACACTTCTGGGTCTCATTCAAGGGCTTCATATATTGTGCATTCTATAAGACAGATGATGCATATAATGGTGCCCAAAGGAATGAAACAGCTTTCTTCTACCATGGTGGGTGAAGCAGTCTGTTATTAGGGCTCTAAAAGGAACAGCAAGAGGAAATGGGGTGTTTTGTTGGGGAAATAAATTTTCAGTCTTTGTGGGCATGAGTGTTTTATTTTCCTTGTTGGCTTGAGACATCTAGAATATAAGGATACATGGACTCAAACCCTTGTTTCTCATAAGTTGGGGAAAAGTTCAGCCATGGTGCCTTTGCATTCATCTTTTTCCTTCTTTCATTTCAAAGCTGTCCAGATGTTGTCCATGCTGTTGCATGCTGCTGCCATTTTGCAGAATGATATGTATGCTTTTTTTGCCCCCAAATTGCACATGCTTCTTTTCTGGTTTTGACAGCTGTAAAGCAAGCATAACTCTGTTGCAACCAGTGGACTGACTGGTAGAAATGGTAGTGCTGTGGTGATGTTGGAAATGGTAGTATTGGACACTGGTGGAAATGGAAAGAGAATGAGATCTGATGAATCCAAACACGGTCATCTTGCAGTGATGTGTTCATGACACTTTGATATGGGAAACGATGCCCTTGGTTACACTCTGATATGGGAAATGGTGTTCTGGCCAAGAGGAGATCAAACATCTCAATTTACCTATGGAAGTGAGTTAGCATTCATAAATAAAATAAACTCCTTTTTGTTCCATGTTTTCCTTTTTAGCTCCCCTTCCACCTCCCTCTCAGGTCCTTGCCTTCAGAGACACCAAGACGTCTGTTGTTGTGCATTGGGATAAGGTGAAGGAGGAGGAGGCCATCGGCTATTACATATATTGTCGGGAGACTGGAACAGAAGAATGGCAAACTGTCAACAATAAACCAGTGACATGTGACAAGTGAGTATAGTTGTCCTCCACTGTGAAACTGTGGTGCATCAGCTGTGATTTCTGTGCTTATGGGACACTTGAAGTTTAGAGCACAAAAATCTGTCAGGCTGACTCTCATGCACCTGCTTCTCATGTACTCTAAGCCACCTGCACACTAATCTGCATAAAATTTGTATAAAATGTCATTTATGGCCCCTTTCCACTGGCAGAGCAATATAAAGGGATACTGATGTGAATAATAACCTGACCAGTCAGATTAAACTCCCTGCCACTAAACACCCTTTCTTTCTAAGGTTGCTCTGCTGTAGAAAGACCCACTAAAATATCTTTTCTAGGTATTGACTTTCGAGAAGTGCTGAATGCCTCAAACCCCCAGTGATTTCACTGGGAATTGTCAAGGCTTAGGAGAAGTTCAGCACCTCTCAAAATCTAACCTGTATTTGCCAATTGATTGATATGTCACCATTTATATGAAAGCAGGGTAGATTTGCACCTTATAGACCAACTAAATAAAATATATCAAGAGTACAAGCTTTTGTGAACTCAAGTTCATTTCATCAGATGCTGAAAGGGCAGCATAACGTAGTGTATAAAGTGGAGTAAGTGATTTATGTAATTTGTATGATTCCGTGGAGTTTAAACTCTAATGGTAAATAACAGCATTTTAAATTATAAGGTGTTAGTTTAAGAAAAGGATACACTATTTGTTCAAGGATACATTTTGCCTGTGCTTTGAATAGATGAGAGCAAACCAATTAATCATCTCTTATAGGTTCACTGTTCCTGGACTCCAGACAGGGAAGGAGTATGAGTTTTGTGTGAAAACTGTCAGTGAAGCAGGACTGAGTGAAAGCTCACCAAAATCTGATCCCATTATTGTCAGGCCAGCTATTGGTAAGTAGTGTACTATACACACATGCCCCCACATAGAAATAGAGCTCCTTCATAAATGTCTTTTACACACAGGTAGGTCAAACCATTTACAAATAGCTACAACCAGCATCTCACTGAAGTAGAGTGGGCCTGATTCTCCACCAACTTGCATTCTTTGTATGTGCATGAAGTAATTGTAGAGTTACACCTCTGTTGTAGTGTTACACCTTCACTGCAGTCATTTTGCACTAGCGTAAATGACTGTGCATGGTGAAAGAAGCAGAGAATCTGGGTCAGTTTCTTGCACTACTCTAGTCCAGGCCACATGTATAATTACACACCCAGCTTATCTGGAACCCTCACTCCAGTCACATAACTCCCCTTCATCATTCTCCAATCTATCACATCACTGTCTTCACTCCTGTCTCCTTTGTGTCTGCCCATCAACAGCTAAAATTACAGAACAAGGCACAAAAGGATTGAAAATCTCCAAAATCCTCCTCTCAAACAATTTGGATGGAAATTAGGCCTTTAATATCCCTTTACACTGCTCAAGTGATGTAAAGGGGCTGTAGTATAAATGACAATTGAGCTTGATAGGAACATGCCTGGTGCTGAGAAGTCATTCCAAGTAACTCAACTTCCACAGCTATTTTCTTGGTCTCCAACTGGATTGCAAGCTTCTATTACATTTTATATTTTCTTTTCTTTCTCTCTCTCACCATTATCACATAGCTTGTCCATCGGCACCACGTGACTTTGCCCTGTTGAGCTGTGGGAAGAATGATATGGTCATTGGATGGAAACCCCCAAAGCACAAAGGGGGAGGAAAGATTCTGGGCTACTTCCTGGATCAGCATGATGACTCTGAGGAAGACTGGCATGAAATCAATATTAAGCCTATTCCCCAACGAACCTATAAGGTATCAGTTTCATATTCCATGCTGTGTTTCTGAGAAAGGAATTGGGAAGCTGTGTCTGTAAATGTAGGCACTGATACTTCTGTAGCCCAGACCTTTCCCTTTCCCTCCTCCAAAAATACTTCCTCATCCCACAGCTTTGAGGGCCCCAGAAAGTCTGATGGTCTCTGTGTCAGATCTTGCAATGAAGCTCTGTTCAGGCCTGTCCCACAGCACATTCTGGGGCTATTTGAAGAGTTCTGAATAACACAATATTCTTGTTAATTCTAATTCATCATAACTCAACATCACATGTATCCTTTCTGAATTATTTTACAGGATGACTGTGAGATCTATTTTGGAATTAACAGAAAGTTCATTAAGTTCAATAAAACCTCTTTAGGCAGTAAAGAGCTGGGAGCTATGAAGCTACTGTCCAAAGCACTAGGCCACAAGACAGGTGAAAGATAAGTTGTGTGGAGTTAGCAGTTCCCTGTCTGCATACATAGAAACTGGGATTCTAGTTGCAGGCTGTGTGTTTTGGAGCAGAAAGCCAGGAGCAGGAGCTTTGAGCGTGACCTTTAATAAAAGCAGGAAGACATGACTTCTTGGGCACAGCACTTGCTAGAGTGGCTGACTTGAAGGATTCCTGAGCAAGGAAACTTCCTGCTTCTCTTTTCTCAAGGATACAACCCCATTTGCTTTTTTCATAAGAAAACAAGATTCCATCAAGAAAATGCCTGATTCATATCACAGAGCAGAAACAACCCTGTGAGATCTCAACTTTTAGCTAAGTGCTCAGGCCCAAAGGGCAACACTACCATTTGACAATATCTCTCTTTTCTTTCCTAATATGATGCTTAAGCAGGATGATTCTAATTGATGCACTGAGTTATCTACAAAATCTCTTTGCTAATGGGTGGGAGGGTGACTTGGGGATTGTTCATAAGATCCTTGTGTACTATCATAAAAATATGGCCTTAAGGTTCAAATTACAAACACGTTTCGCTATACAAGGCTCTACTAATATTATCCCTCGGCTTCTGATCCCAAGGTGACCAACCTCGAAAAAGGGCACTCCTATGAGTTCCGTGCTTGTGCAGTGAATATGGCTGGAGTTGGGAAAATGTCTCAACCTAGTGACTTATTCAAATGTGAGGAATGGACCATGCCACAGCCAGGTAAGATTAACACATGTAAGCAACCAGGAAAATGTTCCAGAGCCCCTACCCAAAAACATGCTACCAAGTAAGAAATGTTGGGAGCCTTCATGCTTAGAAATCCCATCTTCACAGCATGGAGAGAAGCTATTTGGGGGCAGAGACCATGATTTTGTCCTGTTCACACAGCATGCAGTGCAGTGGGGTTCTGGTTCCTGACTGCAACTGCTAGGCACTACTTCAGTAAAAGTAATTCATATAAGATCCCTGCCATACTTCTTGTAACCAGCTAGAAGCCCAGTGCTCTCAGATCCTATTTTCAGAGCATGGGGAATCTTGACAGATTGTGCTAGGCTGTCTGTATAATATATCAGTGCAGGGGTTATGAAATAGGTAAATGTGGTTGTTGTTATAGAATACCTGCTAAGCAGTTTCTGCTAATAGGACCTCTTCTGGGCCCTGTATTCATATGTTGCCATCAACCTACCTACCTTGTGCTCTGAGGCACATTACTGTGCCATTTATTTTTTAATGCTATTGTTTGACAATCTTACCTTCCTTGAAACAGGACCCCCCTATGATGCGAGGTGCACTGAAGTGCGAGACACATCCCTGATGCTACACTGGGAAGCACCATTGTATACTGGAGCAGGTCCAATCACTGGCTATCACATAGAAGTGTGTGAAGAAGGGTCAGAAGAATGGAAGCAAATAAATAAGCAGCCAGTATCCAGCACCCACATGAGGGTTTGTATAGACACGAAGTCTCCAAGCCTTCCTTATCATTTAATGCTCTCCTTATTTATTACCCTTGTTTTCACAGGTTTCTGACTTGGAGACAGGGAAATGCTACATTTTTCAAGTACGAGCACTGAACAAAGCAGGGGCTGGTCCTCCTTCAGTTCCCTCAGATCCTGTGGTGGTTAAAACCAAACCAGGTATGCAACTAAGGCTGACTATATTATATGTCTGTTGAGTTCTGTTCAATAAAAAAAACACTAGGTAGATTGCACAGGCAGTAGCTTGAAGGGAAATGTTGACTGTTTATCTAAGACACTTACAGAGTTCTTATTACCATCTCCGAGTGCCTCATATTCATCGGAATATTAATCCTCACAGCACCCCAGTGAGGTAGGGAAGGGCTGCTTCACCTCTTGGGGAGATGGGGAACTGAGCCATGAAGAGGCTAGGGACTTTAACATAGCTCTTTAGCCAGTTTCTCACCCACTGCATCATCCTTCCTTTCTGAGTTCATTTTATGCCATTCACAAAAGTCTGTAATGTATTTGAGAGTGGCAGCTTCATGCACACTGCAGATGGAGTTACAAACAGGCTTGCAGTTAGTACATGTTATCAAGGAGAGTTCGCTTCTTGAAAGCACAGAGGCGGAAAGGGATCTTGGAGACATTATTGACTCCAAGATGAACATGAGCCGCCAATGCCAGACCGCAGCCAGCAAGGCCAGCCATACCTTGTCATGCATCCAA